AAAAAATATTGTGATATGTTAAATAAGGGACAAATCAAAAGTCCAAAAGAACAAACATTAGAATACTATAAGATTATTAAGGAAGATGATAAATATGTATATTTCTAAAACATTATCTAAATCATTCTAATAAACAATATGAATTTATTAGAATTATTTAGTGGAACTGGAAGTGTAGGAACCATAGCAAAGTCACTCGGTTATAATGTCATCTCATTAGACTTGAAAAATGCTGATATTAATTGTGATATTTTGACGAGTTTGACAGATTAAGGAATTTGAGGTTGGGAGGATGATGAAATGGTCATTTACTCATTTGGATGGTCATTTGGTCATTTTCTCATTGGTTGTAAAGGTAAAATGCCTTTTAAAAATGAGGAAATGGTCATTTCCTCATTTTTGGTGAGTGGCGTCTCATTTTGAACGAGGAGATGGTGATATCGCCATTTGGATGAGGAAATTGTCATTTCTGTATCGGTATGGTCATTGTCTCAGTTGTTTCATTTGTAGCACTTCTTGCATGTTAATTAATACTAAACCATAAACCTTACAATAAAAAACATTGTAAGATTTATGTTTGAAAATTATGGGGATTTTATATTTTGGGATTTGGGATTTTGGAAAAATATATTTTGGGAATTTGGGATTTTGGGATTTGGGAATTTGGGATTTTGGAAAAATATATTTTGGGAATTTAGAAAAATATTTACAAAATTTATGTATCAAATCTTGAGTTGAGGTTCTGTTATGAATTGATGAAAAAATATTATGTGAATTGGTCGGTTGAGGGGATTTTATCCAACTGGGGCAAGGTCTTGGGTAGGTAATAGACCCCCCACAAACAAACGTGAGGTGCCCCTTTGGTTTCAAAGCAACACTGGAAGTGGTTAAGGCACCCCATGGTTGGCAAGCATCCAAGAAGCCAGCACAAATTACATGGCATCCCCTAACCCGCTTACAAAATCCAAACGAACCAGGGATGGATGAAACCAGATTTGAATGGTCAACAATCTGGTGCAGCATTTCGCCCCAGTGCCCACAAACACCCAAATTCGTGGCTTTTTGGAGTTGGTACCTTCTGCTTTTGGTGGTAAAGGAAAGCCAACCTCGCGCTAATTTTGGGCCCTCTTTTTGCCATTTTCGGGGGGCTCCGGGACCCGAACAGGACACCCACACCTCAATCTTCTGGCCCCGTCCTCCGCCAGAGCTGCGGTCACGCGCCTTGCCACGACCTCTACCTGAAAGGCTCGTGCCGCAACCAAAGACGGCGCAGCTTGGCTGAAACGTCTGGCTGAAAGCAGCAAAACAGACAAGAAACCGGGAAATCCCCGGCTTTTCTGCGGTATGTGGGGGACAAATCCTGAGATGTGTGCGTCCTAACATGCAAAGGGGGGGGTCCTTGACACCCTTGGATGAGTCGAATCGAAAGCTGGTGTTAAAGTCCGCCCAAGGCCATAGATCTTGGTTGCATTGTGGAAAAGGGCAACCTCATGTAACCAATAAGTCAACAGTCTGCTAGTTGAGGTACCAGACGTCGAGCACACAGACTAGCTAGGTGTGGAAGTGAATAACAGAGAAGTGGACATTGTTCAAACGGGGTCAACATGCTATTTCGGTCGTGTGCAAGAGCAACCAAGAAATGATTAACGATTAAATCTCGATGGGCAGTGCGATAGTTCAAAGGAAGTGCCCGCTTGCCGGGCCTCTGTTTACTACTTCTCCGGCTTCTGTTTGGTTTCCCGATAGAATCCATCCAACAAGAGCGTTCCTGCGAATTAGGGACAGCGAAACAGGTCACCTACTGATATCTGAATGATGTCCCGATTGGGTTGCGTCCCTCTGGTTGTGGTCGAAACTTAGTGAGTTCCCCATATCCACCAAGTATACACACAAAACAGGACATGGACATGACTTTGAACTTTGCAGGACTCAGAGAAGACTGTTGCCGTGGGTATGTTTGTTTTGTTGATGGTGCCATGTTTCACTCAGTTGCCCTGGAAAACAAAGGGAACCCTTTTTCGGGAAGACCATTTTAGTGGGGCAGCCACCAAAAACAAAGGGAACAAGGGGGCCACTGAACAGCTGAGTTCATGGTCTGCCAAACATGGAACCTGACAGAGGGAGCCAAAGGAGCCTTCCTTTTGGTGGGTTCCCTCTGAGGAGCAAAATTCTTTTTTTTGCAGGGATAGAAGTGTTTCTCAGAGAGCCTGCATGGGTCACTGGAGTTCGCCCGATCAAGAGTTGTTCAATTTAATGGTGGCTTTTTATTGAAGCAATCGTCATGTCTGGAGGTTCCAAAAATGGACATTGAGCTTTGGCGAAAAACGAATGACGTCAGACATGTGGCGCGTTTCCCCATAGTGGCATCTTAAAGGCGTGGCCTTTCGGCTTCTCTGTGGACCCCCAAAAGCAGAGTTCTGGGGGCCATTCCTATGCACAGGCAGGTTGTTCAAAACCAAAAAAGAGTTTAAGGGGGTCATGGCGCAATGGCAGCGCGCCCGTGTCCTCGGATACTCGGGAGGTTGCAGGTTCAAATCCTGCTGGCCCTATTTGCGCACTGCCATTGTATGTTTTGATTCCAAGATCAGAACGGGCTGGTTGATTCCCCAAACGGGATCGATCCGAACCCCTGTCGAAGGCTATCCGCAGTTGGGATGAACCAAAATGAGTTGATTCAAAGTGGACATCAGCTGAGCTTGGCTCATTGATCTCTTGGAAAAACCTTAGGGAACAGCCCTCCACCAAAACTTGAACCTCAGACGTTCTTGGTGGACCTGTGCAGAGCGTATGGCAAAGTCAACCCATTTTCCGCGCGATCCCAGGGCTCCAGAGTGTAACCAGCCCTCAAAACCAACACCTCAATATGTGTTGAGGTCTTTGGCGGTCAAAAACCCTCAGATGTGGGGTGCTTGGCGCAGAAAACTTGGGGGGGTACACCAAATCCCACGTTTTCAGGGTCTGTTTCCGACAGGAGACGGGTCCCAGTGAAGAACTTGCCGGTACCTCCCGCGCCTGACACTCTGATGGTCTGCAGCCAGCGCACAGCAGGGCCTCGACTCTGGATATGGCGTGGGTCAAAATGGGTCACAACCTGTCCGCGTTTTCCTGGAAGCTGGACCTTTATCATAGCTTTCGCTCGGAGAAAAGAACAAAAACAGGTGAGCCAGCTGTAAAATGGGTAGATGGAATCCACCAGAGAGTCCATGTAAAGGAACATGGTCTTCCAGCATCAGTCGGGTCGAGTGAATTAATAAATGGTTTGCCCCTGGTAACTGGAAAGGACGAAAACCTGCGGCCCACATCCTGGTGAAATTTTGACATCCATACCCATGTCCCTTTCTGAGGTGACAATGTATCTGGGAATGTCTGTTTTTGACGGTGCCCAGGGCTTTTGCAGAAGATCAGTGCTTCCAAAACCCTCCGATTCTCGGCTTCCATCAAAGGAGAGTATACTGCATGTGGATGTTGTGGCCCAAAGGCTTCCTTCATACCTCAGCCCAACTTCCTGGCGGGAATTAATTTGGGCGTGTCTTGAAAAATCGGAGACCCCCCAAAACTTGTGTTCTGTCCTTTGGTTGCTCTTTACACCCCTAAAAGTTGGCAACCAAAAGTTTACACCAACCCCAATTTGTTCTTCTGTCCCTTGGTTGCTCTCTAAACCAACAGCCAAAAGTTGGCACCCTCAAGAGACAAACCCATCTTGATGCTTGAAATCCAAATGGCATTCTCAATCACGGAGCCCCTCTTCGGGGACTCCTTGGCGACTTTCAAGCTCAGTAAGTGATGTACATGTCCAGGACTTACTTCCGTGGATTGGAAACCAACGACTTGGTCCTTGTTCTATTTGCAACAACAAAAATGGTCTTCCCAACAACCTTAAAGTGGAACTTGGGGATCAGGAGGATGTTCCTGGTTGCGTCTCAAGACTGGGGGTCCTGTGTGGGAATCGTTTTCGCCATCATCAATTTCGACGCTAATCTTGACAACCCACGTGTGTGGTCAACACTCTGCCATGGGAAATGCGACCCTCGTTGTCGGAAAGCTCTGGCGTGGGCGATGGTTCCTTGCAATGCTGTCGTATCACTCAAGGGTTCATGACCATCCCGAGCTCTAAGTAACTAGGTCCTCCAGTAGAGAGGTTAGAATAAGGTCCTCCAGTAGAGAGGTTGGAATAAGATCCTCCAGTAGAGAGGTTAGAATAAGGGTACCAACCTTTTTTCTGCAGTCCATTTTAGTAGGGGAACCGAATCTCCCAACCCAAAAAGGGTCTTCAGGGCACCTTGCGGGACCTAGGCAAGAATTTGTCTTGGCACAAATAAGGTAGACCCCACCTTTCGGAGGAAGCCGGAAAAAAGAAGAAGCCAGAAACCAGCAAACTACGTCTCACGTGTTGCGTTGATTCAAACCACAGGCAAGTGGTTGGAGCTTTGTGTGCCCAAAGGTGTTGAGGTTGTATGTAGATAGTTTACTTGCTTAATGTTGACCCCGGATTAATAAACCCCTGCTTAGTAATATCGGGGTGTCCCTGGTTTTAGTGAGGATTTATTACTTACTCTTGGAGGGGAATTCCCCCATATTCATAAACAGGGGTTTATAAATCCAGGGTCAACATTATGGGGTGCTTCCCAAAATTGGTCGACCCAAATCCATGTAAAGAATCTAAGAGGGCGGATATCCGCATCTTATGGTTCGGACTGTCCCGAATCTTCTCTTCCCCAGGTTGTCTTGGGACCGCCAAAACCAGTATGCTCGGCTTCTGCTTCATTCCGTGGATGGACGAGATCCTGCACCATGTTGAAACCACGGGAAACTATTGCTTGGTATTTACAGGAGGAACCATCCTTCCAGGGTTTCATTTCGGGAGTGCGAAATGAATTTCGTCCGTCCACAGTATTTAGTCTAGCCTAAAATCGACCACCCCAAAAAAACGATCATTAGGATCCCCTAAAATCGCCCCGAAAAAGCAAAGGTAGGAGACCCCAGTCCTGATGGTGGCTCACTCATGTCGCTGAGGTCCCCACTCCCAGCCATTGCCCGAAGCGCCCATCCAACTCCACCCCGCCATCCTCCGCCAGCATGGGCCTGGGTGACAGTGGAACAAATAGGGCCTATAGCCGTGGCTCATACTTTACCCCTTTTTGGTTTCAAAACCAAAAACACATGTGGGTCCCTGAAAAAGCCGCACCCCTATAGATACTTGGACAGTTTTTTTCCCTTTGCGGATGTGGGGGGTTGGAAGGGATTCAAGGAACCGGACCCTTTTGGGCCTTGCCTGGCTTGTGGGATCGGACGGGCCCGGCCCGAAGGATCAAACAAACAGCACGTTCAACCACCGTCCGCCTCAAACACCGGCTGTTTTCCCTGGGCTTTTAATGGTCTGAAAGGAAAAACGTATCCAAGTGGAAAGAATGGACATGGAAGCTACCGCAAACATCGGCACCTCCTTAGCTAGGTCCTCCAGATTTGAGAGGTTGGAATAAGTTGGTACCAACTTTTCCCGTATATTTCAGGGGGGGGGGAACCCTCCCCACCGAAAAAGTTACAGTAGAGAAAGGGCGCCAATTGCTAGGGGACCTAGAGAACGTGTGAAGAGATGAAGGGCCACCCATCCCCCCCCCAAAAAAGAAAGACAACAGATATTTCCCATGGAACAAGTTGCCCATGGCTTCCCAAACCTGGGGCTTCCGATGTCCAAGGTGCGCCAGCAGCTCTCCAGCGAAGCTCTGCAGCAAGGCGCGCCAGTCCCCTCGGGGCCGCGGCCTGGTTCCGAGCTTGGGACGGGACACCCAGGGAAACGGATCCGGCTTTTTGGACGGAACCATGGTTGAAGAGAATGGACAAGGAATCAAATTCTAGAAAGGAAACAACCACACTTTCTAACTTTGATAACCCCCAGGAACCGTCAAAATAATGACCACAGGAACTCCTAGGAAGAATCAAGTTCTAGGCGTGCCTTCCCCATTCTTTCCAGGCATCCTTCTTTCTAAAAGACCACCCAAAACCCTGGGGAAACGGATCCGGTTTTTGAAAAGAACGAAGGTCGGGAATCAACCCCTAGATTTGTACAAACCTAGAAGCTCCTAAACATTTCAATGGAAGACCTGACCCCCCCATTAGACAACCCACTTCGGTAGTTGAAGGTCTGAAAACCAGGTTGGTTGAAGGCCCTAAATCAATCGAATTGGAGCCTCTGGGGACCGCTTTTCCATTCGGTGCCCTCCCTGTTTTGGAAGGCTCACTCCAAACAAAAAAGACCAACCTCTCTACCTGACCACGGGTGGTTCCGGTAATTTACCGGTGAAATACACATATAGTTGTCCAAACGCACGCCATTTCACCATCGTAAGACGCTCAATCGGATCGTCCCGACCCGTGCAACGTGATCTGCGTGGCTGTCCGGAAGCTTGTTGTGTCCTAAGAGTTTAGCAGACCCCTTGGATGTTTCCAGCCGGAAATACCCGGCTACTTCGCAAACCCATGTTTAAATGCTACCAAAACCAAAAACCCAAGGCTTTGCAAACGGAAAAGAGTGGCGAAACGGACACCCCGGCGCCGTGAACACACACAGGGTCGTTGGCGATTGTCATGCCCAGAAGATCAAAGGCACGCAAACTAAGTCAGTCAAAGCAACACCTTCGCCGAAGATGATTCATCGCAACTTACTGTACACTATAACTTAACACACAAGTTGGACATCATAAATCTAAAGCTAAATTGTAATTCGCACACGGCCCCATGCGCTTGTGGCATTGCGAACTGGCCGAACAAATCACATAATAATAATAATAATAATAGTAATAGTAATAGTAATAGTAATAGTAATAATAATAATAGTAATATTAATAATAATACTAATAATAGTAATAATAATAATAATAGTAATAGTAATAATATACATATATATATATATGCATGCAGATATATCTATTTACTCATTTTAATTACCATAGATTGTTTGGAATCATTGGACACATCTCGCGGCAAGAAACCAGAATCAACGGGGGCTGCTCGTTGAGCCCGCCGCGCTAAAGCCGTTGTGCTAAAACAGCCCCGGCTCGGCATTCAACAGATCGGGGGTTTTGCGGGGGATGGCTGGGTAGGTTGCTTAAGGCAACGCGCAACCCCGCTTCTTTGTTTAATAATTAAATATATCTAGTAACATTTCTATTAAACAAAAAGAAGAAAAAAGCAAAGAACCAATCACTTTAGACCCCGGCTCAATGAGTCCCATCCGCGCCATGGAACCTTACGTTGGCAACATATATCCCTTGAGGGACGCTCTGGGCTCCATGGACCGGAGGGAATCAGCCGTGATGCCCAGTGGATTTCCATGGGGAAAAATCATCGGCGCCCAACTTTTTGTTGCTTGAGTTCAGAGGAATCGGAACCCTCACCAAGACCAAGTTGAAAAATAAGGCGCCTCTTTTTTGGTTGAGGTTCACCCTCACCAACAAAAACACACACAAAAAATACATAAACGGGGCACCACTGGGCAACATGGGCAACCCCATTTACTGGAACCGTACGATTGCGGGCGTTCGGCTTGAAGGCGCGAGCGCCTGGCCATACGCTTGCAGGCGTCCGCCGCGGCCTTGGCCTCCGCCTTGGCCGAGGCAAACGGTAGACCCCGGAGATCTGCCGTGGAACACAAGAAGCCCTCGAATGAGTCGAATCCCCCACGTAAATTCCAACAAGCAATTGTTTCAACCCGATCCTTTTCTGGCAGTGATACTGTGGATGGTTGCGAAATCCATTTCGCACCACCTCAGAGACCCTGGAAGGACGATTTTCCTGCAAATACCAACAAACTGTGGTTTCCAAGTGGTGCAGGATTCGTCCATCCACAGTATGGGGAGGAGGGGGGGAGGCTTTAGGGAAGTTCTCGAAAATGGGGTCCCCCGTTTGGTTTGGTTTAGAAAAAGAAAGGAAACCATCTTTAAGTCTTTCAGGGGTCCCCTGGTTGGAGACACATGTGGAGGAAACGCCTTTTGGTTAGCCCCACCCTTTTGGGTTCCACTTTTCTCGGAATCAAACCGAGATCCACGGAAGCTGGGCTCCCTCAAAGATCGGGGCAGGGGGCGCCCACTGGAACCCCGCACGCCGTAGGGATGAAGTTCACGAGGCTTGCGCTTGCAACCGGGAAAGCCGAGCTACGACCCTCCCAATGGCCACGGGAAAAACCGCGCACTTCTGACACCTGTGCTTGCTGATGGAGGCTCCAATTCGATGTTTTGTTGGGCTCAAAAAAAGGCCAGGTGTTGAGAACCAGCACCGTTTTCCCGGGGTGTCTAATGGAGTCGAGTCTTCCATTGAAAGCCAAAGCCGATCGGAGCCTCTGGGTATAACAGGGCTCCCTATATTTCCCCTTGATACATCACCCTCACCAAGGGATACTCACCTTTCATGGGCCAAAAAAGGTCATGTTTTGAACTGCCCCAGAAGGGAAAAAGAAGGGACCCCTGTATAAAGGAAAAACCGAACCCTGGAGCTTGAGCTGACGTCGGCGACCTGCCGCGATTGAAACCAGCGAGCCTTGGTCTGCAACGTCGCTTCAGGAAAAATTGGGGCTCCTGGAATTTGAGGTCCCACGAATTTTGAAGTGTCCAAACCTCGAAAAACTCCATGTCCTCACTCCGCCCAGTGCCGGATGGTTGCGATCCAAATCCGCGAGTCCCGCACAGCAACCCATGGCATTTGTGGAATCGACTCGTTCCAACTCGGAGTTCTGAACGGTGCCAGATACGCGGAGTTCGATTTCACGCATCCACAGTGCCGCAATCAAAGGACACCTTTACCTGCTGACGTTGGGATATCCACATGGTAGGGGTCCGAAACCAGAATGATTCCTGAGCTTGCTGGTGCTCAGTAGGGAATGTGGGAATGAACCGGTGTTGAGGATTCCCGAGGAAAGGAAAACCAAATCGGGGGGATGGCTTGTCTTGGGGTTCCAGTTCTCATTGGCTGTATTGGACCACATGGGTGTGGTTTCTTCGTTTTTCGTGGGTCCCTTTTTTGGGTTTGGTTTCAAGTGGGAAACCAAAGGAGACACCGAAATCCTTGTTTGGCAGTCTTCCAAAAACACATTCATATGGGTGTGGAAACCAACTCGGTACGTCCGGGGCTTCGACCACTCTGCACTCCGCGTCTGTGATCGCCAGCTTTGCTTTGGTCAGCAGCCGCTCCTTCGACTTCCCTTCAGTAACAATCAAAACCCGGTATTAAAATTATCAACCCATGGAAAGACTTCAGACAGCGGATCTCCGATGGGCAAAAGGGGAAAGTCCTGAGATCCAAGCGAAATGCAAAGCTAAAATCGTGGGGGCCCGAAAACACAACTCGGCAGCTGTCCGAACTTGGTTTGACTAACCAACCCTTTCAAGGGCACCCCCCCCCCTCCCCAAAAAAAAAAGAAGAAAGACACACTCACACACACACACCCATTTGAGCTGTGTTTTTTTTAATGGTGTGGGGCCTATACACTGGAAGCACATACCTACGCGGAGGCTACGCGGCTGTCTTTCCCCCTAGGAATTTGGCTACGCGGAGGCTACGCGGAACATATTTGTTGATAAGTGGCTACGCGGGGGGCTACGCCGGGGCTACGCGAATGCTCGTTGGCAACCGGAAGTTCGTAGTAGCAGAAGTCAGAAGTAGTAGTAGTAGTAGTAGTAGTAGTAGTAGTAGTAGTAGTAGTAGTAGTACTAGTAGTAGTACTAGTACTAGTACTAGTACTACTACTACTTCTACTACTACTACTACTACTACTACTACTACTACTACTAGTACTAGTACTAGCACTAGTAGTAATAGTACTAGAAGTATTAGTAGCAGGAGCAGTGGTAGTAGTAGCAGTAGTAGTAGTAGTGGTAGTGGTAGCAGCAGTAGTAGTGGTAGTGGTAGTGGTAGTGGTAGTGGTAGTGGTAGCAGTAGTAGCAGTAGTAGTACTAGTAGTAGTAGTAGTAGCAGTAGTAGTAGTAGTAGCAGTAGAAGTAGTAATGGTAACAGTAGTAGTAGGAGGCATGTGGGCCAGTGGCCTTGAACACGCCTTGGAGGCTACGCGGAGGCTACGCGCAGGCTACGCTGAGGCTACGCCGCATGAGCGAACTCAGCTCTGGCTGGGCCAAGGCAAATCAAATTCACCCTCTTTCTCTGAGACACGCAAGCTTTCAACCTAAGCCTTGAGCTCAAGACAAAGGATCTAGGCGGAGGCTACGCGGACGATTGTCGACAGCTCCCTTTGCTAGTGGCTACGCGGAGGCTACGCGAGGCTACGCGGTCCCAGGAGTAGGCTACGCGGCTACCATGCCAGTTCCCCTCTCCTTTTGGCTCCTGCATTTTAAAAAAAACGCTGCTCATTTGAAGGGTGGCCATGGGTGGCCATTTGACACTTTTGTGCCAAGTCCAACGCATTTCCTCTCAACCGAAGTCAACGCATTTCCCTCGACCAAATGCCACCCCGCAGTCTGCACGGAGCCGAATCATGCGGGCTTCAGTCCAAAACTTAAACTCTTCCCCCACCGAAATGTGAACAGAATCTTTCCACAAGAAGAACAACACATATAGATGTCTGCTTCTTTTTTTGGGTGTTGGGGGGGAGGGTGTGGGAGGGGGGTGTGGGGGTGTGGGGGGGGGGGGGGGGGCCCCCACACAAATGGTGGTTTTCAATTTTGGGTTTGCCCGTAAAAAACAACCAA